GCCCAAGGCCTTTTAAACCCGATATTAATTTCCTATACAACCAATATGGGACTTGTAACACTCAGTTTCTAGAATGCTAGCACATACGTGAACTTAAGAAAACTTGCTACTAGTCTATTATGTCTTAATAATAGAGAGGAAAAAACAAAGGGAAAAAGGATGGAAAGGGAGAAAAATAAAGGAAGATGTCACGAGGCATAGAAGAAAAGTTACAAAACGAAGAAAGCTTAAAGAGAAGTTTGTCTTGAACTGGGATAGAAGAGTAAAATAAGGAGAACATAAAAGAAGAATAATATACTAAAGATAGAGAGAGAGAGAGAGAGGGCTATGTAAAAGAAATTATCCAGTTCATATCTCCCTTTTCCTACATTGGGATAGACTTCTTTTTCTTTAAGTCAACTTTTGTTTTGTACACATCTTATTTATATATGAGAAGCTTCCTAAGGAGAATTTCTTTTACCTAGAGAGATTTCCGTTTCTTTTCACTTTTGTTAAAGCAGAGAAAATGCCATCATCATGCACTAGAGAAGATCAAGTGTCTGTTTAACGGTTGAACTGGCTTGCTCCTCAAATTGAAAAGCAAAATGAAAATCAGTTTTACAATCCGCTGCTTAATTAATCTATACAAATTAAAATACGAGAATAGAAAATATGTAAAATCTTCTTCTTCTTCTTTTTTGGTAAAAAGTAAAATCTTCTTTGGTATTCCTAGAAGAAGAAAAATTAAGTAAAAACACAAGCCCTTAAAAGGTGCTTTAGTGGAGCCCACATAACACTTAGCATGCAATATGCATGATTCTGCTAAAAAAAGCCCCCAGGAACACATAAGAAATTTCCAGTATTCGTTGTCCTTTTCCGCGAGTTCAGGAAACATGTTACATTTATCCAAAAAAAAAAAAACGAAACATGTTACATGGCATACATCATCCAACCGCTGAACCGCGGTTTTTGTACTCCGTATCCAACATTATCCCAATTTTCCCTCTCAAACTGCCACTTATCCCATATACCTCTATGGCTTTTAGTACATTTGGATGAGCTTTTGAAAAAATGATTTTGTTTTTTTTTTTAATATTTGTTTTTTAAAGATAAAGTTATTATATGTTTGAATGTATGATCTGAAAATTATTTTTACATAAAAAATTGTTTGGATGTTAAAATAAAAAAAAACATTTATATATAAAATTATAATAAATGAGAGATAAAATAGCATGATCGTGAAATAAGGAGAGATAAAATAGGTATGATAAAAAAAGGATAAAATTGTATTTTAAAAATTTATATCATCTTTTTTCTAAAAAAAATATATATTATCTTTTAATTTCTACTTTTTTTAAGAGCAACTAACTACTGGCTATAAAAAAAAGCAACATTTTAACTTTTATTTTAAATTTTTCTTTTTTAAAAGGTTGTTATCCAAACATCTAAAAATTGTCAAAAAAACTTTTATTTTAAAAAAAACAATTTAAAAAAAAATAAAAGCTCATTCAAACGGGCATTTACCCTTATGCTAGTTATGATTTACTTTAACATGTAATGTTTCATTCTTATAATATAAATTGGCATCATCATCTTTAAAGTTATTTTAATTAGTTCTTAAAATTGAGTAATTATTTCAATAAATTCTTCGTTAAAGGTTTGTTAACTCACTAAGGGTGATGTCAATGTGGCAACACCTTTTTCATTAAACTTACATCATTGAACAATTTATTATATTAAATCCTGATTTATGATGTAGTAAATGCACCCAATCATCACACCATAACGCTACCGCACCCACCTTTAGCGATTAATTAAGTCAATTTAAAAACGAGTCAAAATTTAAGGGGGCTTAGTCTTCTTTTCCTAATATTAATTATTTAATTCAAAAATATAATATTAGACTGTCACTGTTATTTAATGTCAATTATTATATGTATCAATAAATATCACCAACTAAGTGATTTCATGTGATTAGTTGTAGGTTAAATTACTCAGTATGTCTTTATAGTTTTACTCCAAATTTAATTATTTATAGTTCAAAATCCCATAGAACAATGGTCTCTAAATATTCAAAAAATGTAAGATGGTCCTTATAATTTTCAAATAATGCAACACGATCTTTGTTATGTTTCTGCAATTTCACTTTAAACAAAGAATAAACGCAACAAACAAGAACCATTTTTTTTTTTAAAATAAGGACTTTAAATAATTTTAAACTGTATATATATGGACTAAATTAAAACTTAAGTTGTTATCAAAAAAAAAAAAATTAAAACTTAAGTTAAAATATAAAGATCAAATCATTAATTAAACCTTATTTTTATAAGCGTGAATATAATTAATCACATCTTTTTTGCGTGGTTATTATTAATAACTTTACAGTTTATATGCGGAGAAAAAGCGTGATCATATGAATGAATAAATAACGATGAATGTTAGAAAGCGAGATGAATATGGGGATGGGCATAGTTGAATTACAAATCCTCATTATCATGAACTAAATTTTTAATTAAAGTATGAAGTCAAATGAATAAGACTAACTTCGTGAGTTATGCACTGAAATGGTTTACTTAGTTGAAGTGTATTGAATAATTATGATTTATTCAAAAGTTCATGCATGTTACAAATTGAAATGTATATGTACAAGGTTGGATTAGGTATATTAAATGACTTTCTTATTTCTCGTCGGCAGATCAATTAAATGAATTTGATTTCGTAATTACAAGTATTAAATTATCACAATCTTAAAATAAATACCGGAGATTTAGTTACATATGTGATCGTTATTTCATTCATGTGAGAATTAACTTTAAGTGGGATTTTTGTTTAAAACTCTTACAAATGTGTAAACACTATCATTTTATAAATAAAACAAATATTTTGTGTAAAATTTGTCGATTTGGCTAAGAATATGTAGGTAGCAATATCCATGCCTCAAAGAAAATTGACTTCATTTGATAATTTTTTCTAGTTATCCCGCATAAGAAATTCTGATTTTCCCACACGGTGAAGGGTCTTTTATCTTTGCTGTAAAGGCCTTGCAAGTCACGTATCCGAATCCTCTCCACAACTACTTTTTAACTACAAACACCGACATAATCCACCACCACCATCTACCCTTCAATTAATCCGACATTATCCATTACCACCCCCAGGTCTTTCCTTATATTCCACTTTGGATAAACCTTAATTGTGTAAATGCCACTTTTCTTCCAAATATAACGGCTGACTCAGCAGCCACACCCTTGTAATAAATAGAATCTCTATAAAAAAGAATCAATTTAATACACACGCAATCCAATTTAAATCCTCTTAAAATCTGAGTAGTATCCTACGTGTGAAACCCATCAACTGTATTTCAGTAATGCCTTACAAAAATGAAAACCAATTTGGATTGAATTGAGGGAAGAGAAATCTTGAAAAGGACTTTAAAACGTTTCGTGTCATCACCGTCCAATCCCTATTAACATTGCGGGCTTTATTGCAGGACACTTGACCACAAAAGAGACAGATAGAACCAGAGAGGCAGAGTGCAAAAATTATTCATACATTCAGGGTTAAAATGTGTGTCATTTTAAAGGACGTAAAATTGTATTATTTTAAGAGAAAAAAATATATAGATAAAGGAGGAGAATGACTTGTCAAAAAAAATAAAAGTGTAGGTCTCACCTCTTTGTGAGAGTGAAAGGATATAAGTTGTGTCATTTAAAAAGATAAACATTTTTCCCTACATTTAAATATGACCAAAACTAATCCTAAATTTTTATAGTCAACCCTTTTAATTAATCATTTAATAAATAAAAAAATATGTAAAACGTTTTATGTTTCTTTGATGTTAAATATAGCAAAATTTTGCCGTGGGTTTTTATCCCTCAGCTTACCCAAAACAAAAACAAAAAAATATATCAAAATTCTCAAGAAATAAAAATGCAGAGATCTGATCTAATATCAGAAAAGAATTGGGTAATAAAAATAGCAAAAAAAGTGTTTTCGCAATTCATTCCTAAAGTAACGTCGTTTTGGAGTTAAAAAAGTAAAAAATTGTAATGATAAAAACTATTATAATCCTGAAATAAATTAAAATTATAAAAACACCTTCATTTTCGTTCCAAAATGATGTCGTTTTGAGCTCAATGCAGATAAGTTGTCTACATTCGTTGCAGAAAAAACTGAACCCTAAAAATTGAGACTCTTAAGTACATAAAATGAAATTTTATATAATATAAAGAAATCATTTTTTAAATTAAGTTACGAATTTGTGGTGTTAATAATTTCTTCAAGTATTAGTTAGTGTTCGGTCTTAGAGAACCGTAGAATAATACTGTAGGGTATGCACTCAGAGATATCTTATAGACATATATTCTGGTTGGCTTATAGTCAATATCCCAACACTGCGAACAAGTAATAGGCTTATAGCCAATATCTCAATTATTGCGCACAAGTAATAGGCTTATAGCCAATATGTAGGTGTGTGCACAGGTGTTGACAGAAGTAGTAAATGAGTTCAAAATGTGTACTTAGGATCTTAGCCTTTTATTTATAAGGATTACCTCTTGGGCTTGGGCTGTATATATCAGGATTTAAGTTTTAAATCCATAAAAAAAAAACTGTATTGAAATATTGTAAATTTTGAATGAATAATTATAATAATAAATTTAATTACAAATCCAATATGATATATATATATATATATATATATATATATATATATATTTTTTTTTTTTTTCATTTACTCCTTTTAAGGTTTTTATTTATTATTTTTGCCAGAGAATATAATATTTCTAAGAAGAAGTGATGTTTTTTATACAGTTCGGTAAGCTGAGTTGTCATCTTCACACTGTACTTAATGATTTCTTTTAATTTTCATATATTTTATAATTTGCATATTATATTTATTTACAGCTCAACAGTTTGATCAGAGTTAAATAAATCGGCGACAATCTTTCTATATAAACACTTGCCACTGCTCTTCTAAAAGCTCCATCTTGGTTTTTCTTCATTCTGTTCCTTTTATTCTTTCTCCTTTTCACTTTCTCTGAATCATTTTCTCTGATACTAAGGTAAGAAAAACAGAGAGAAAAAATGCCTGCCGTCGGAGGAATAAGCTCCGGAGAAGGGGGCAAAGAGTACCCCGGAAACCTCACTCCTTTTGTCACCATAACATGTATAGTTGCAGCCATGGGTGGATTGATCTTCGGCTACGATATTGGGATTTCTGGTATATATATTTATATATATTGTACACACACATATATATATATATACCCATGTATATTTATTCTAGCTGTTTGTTTTATGAGAAAACATTAATTTTTATGTGTGATTTGGTTATTACATGTTTATGTTATGAACTGTGAAGGTAACGTTTTTATTTTTTTAATGGGTTTCGGTTAGGTGGGGTAACGTCTATGGATCCGTTTTTGTTAAAGTTCTTCCCGTCGGTGTACCGGAAAAAAAACCTCGACAAATCGACAAACGAGTATTGTCAGTACGACAGCCAAACACTGACGATGTTCACGTCGTCGCTGTACCTGGCGGCGCTGTTGTCGTCGCTGGTTGCTTCCACCATCACGCGTAGGTTTGGCCGGAAACTTTCCATGCTTTTCGGTGGTTTGCTCTTCCTTGTCGGTGCCCTCATTAATGGCTTCGCCCAACGCGTTTGGATGTTGATCGTGGGTCGGATCTTGCTCGGGTTTGGTATCGGGTTCGCCAATCAGGTATCTGTCTCATTCTTCAATCTCCTACTCTGTTTTTTTTTTTTTTGGGTTTTGTTCGATGGGGTATGTCTCCGATATTCTCTGACTGTGTAGTGTCCAAAATCTCTGATGTTTCAATTTCAGACATAAAACTTAATCATGAGTTTTTTTTTTTTTTTTTTTTGAAGTAATAGAATAATAAGGATGTGTTGTCGTTTAATACGATTGTTTTGAACTATTGTACTATTCTTTGAAACTGAACTCTTTCCCCAGATCTGTCTATAAATTATGAGTTATAGTGATTCTAATATAAAATGATTTTTTTTTTTTTTTTTTTTTTTTATGTTTTATATAATCTGACAGAAGAGTTGGTCTTTCGTATAATGTTACTGACATAGTAAACGGTAAATATTTATGACACAAAAAAATATGTCTATGAAATGATACTGTCATATAACAGGACATTCATATTTTCCATAGTAAATATGCATTTACACAATTTTAAGGCATTCATTCATATGTTTATAATTTTATCCTTCAGCTCAAAAGTCACGGCTTTTGATTTCTCGACTTTATTGTTTGATATCTCAGCTAATTCTGACTTCTCTAACTGCAAGGTGGGAGAGTATTTTTGATATATATGATGTACCCGTTATTTCCATTAAAAAATTACATTTAAATCAAATTTTTTTCTATATATACATCACAAAAAAAATATTCCATTTTAATTTGACCGTTTCACTGAGTCAGTGATAGTGTACCGTAAATATTTTATCCCTAGTGGCGCAATTATTGTGCGGTTGTGCCCCGTTTTTCATTGCGTGTGACTTCCGCGCATCGCATTTCCACCTCCGCTTACATCATTTTCCACGGACTTGAATTCAAAACTCGAATTTATAAAATAAAAAACAAAATGAATTCCCCCCACCAAAAAAAAAAAAAAAAAACGTAACAAGTACATAAGAACCCATAGTCCTATATTACGACATTTTTTTTTAAAATATATATATTCCGTAATAACTTGGGAACTAGATATTCATAAATTGATTCTACATCAATGTTGTTAATTATATATTTTTTTAATTTCTCACAGTCTGTGCCACTCTACCTCTCTGAGATGGCTCCTTACAAATACAGAGGAGCTCTGAATATTGGTTTCCAATTGTCAATAACAATTGGCATTCTAGTGGCCAATGTGTTGAACTACTTTTTTGCCAAAATCAAAGGAGGGTGGGGATGGAGGTTGAGTTTGGGTGGTGCTATGGTACCTGCACTTATAATTACTGTTGGATCACTCGTCCTTCCTGACACCCCAAATTCCATGATTGAACGTGGAGATCGCGATGCAGCCAGGGCTCATCTTCAAAGAGTTCGAGGTGTGGATGATGTTGATGAAGAGTTCAATGACCTTGTAGCAGCTAGTGAAGCTTCCATGCAAGTTGAACACCCTTGGAGAAACTTGTTACAGAGGAAGTATAGGCCACACCTCACTATGGCCATCTTGATTCCATTCTTCCAGCAATTAACCGGCATCAATGTCATAATGTTTTATGCACCTGTGTTGTTTAATTCCATTGGGTTTAAGAGTAATGCTTCCCTAATGTCTGCTGTGATCACTGGCATTGTTAATGTTGTTGCTACTACAGTCTCAATTTATGGAGTTGATAAGTGGGGTAGGAGAGCCCTTTTCCTTGAGGGTGGAGTTCAGATGATGATATGCCAGGTAACCCTTTTTCTTAATCTTCAATGTACTATTTTATTATATCAATTGACATGTATAAGAGCGAGTGGTAAGCTACTTCTTTATAACTGAAAGGTCACGGATTTGTTCTTGTCCTCACTCCACTCTCATTAATCAGGATTTAATGGGAAGTGGTTGAGTGATTAATTGACACGTGTATTTTTTAATTTAGTGTGTACATTAATTTGAGATAGCTTATTGCTTATGAAATGATTATAAGCTCAAAGAAAGTGTTAAATATATAGTGAGCTATAGGATTCTTATGTCCATTTTATTTGTTAATCAAATATTTGATTTATGTGAACAGGCTATAGTTGCAGCTGCTATTGGAGCAAAGTTTGGAATTGATGGAAACCCTGGTGATTTGCCAAAGTGGTATGCCATAGTTGTGGTGCTGTTCATTTGCATTTATGTAGCAGGGTTTGCTTGGTCATGGGGTCCCCTTGGTTGGTTGGTGCCTAGTGAGATCTTTCCATTGGAGATTCGATCGGCAGCTCAAAGTATCAATGTGTCGGTGAACATGTTCTTCACGTTCGTTGTTGCTCAAGTTTTCTTGTCCATGCTTTGCCACATGAAGTTTGGCTTGTTCATCTTCTTTGGCTTCTTTGTGGTGGTGATGACATTCTTTGTGTACTTCATGCTGCCTGAAACTAAGGGCATCCCAATTGAAGAGATGGGCAAGGTTTGGAGGTCACACCCATACTGGTCCAAATTCGTTGAGCATGACGATTTTGGCAATGGTGTTGCGATGGATAAGAGAACTATCAAGAATGTGTAATTAGCCCTTGTTGTATTTTCTTTTCCTCAGTGACTAGTTTCCCCCTCTCTCTTTTGTTGTTGGTAAAACATACTTCTAATGTCAATGTGAGTTTCAATGTATTGAATTGTCCTTAAAAATTGAAGGGTTGTTTTTATCTAGGGTCCCCTGGTTTCGGTGAACAATGTTTACAGGATACTTTTCTATATTAATCCAATTGCACAAATTATTATGCGCATTTGAAATTTGTTGCTTTCATTTCCATAAAATGAGAACAAAAATTTAAGTTTATCAGGTTGCTTCCTGGGTTACATTCTAACCTAGCTGTTTAGTAGAGACATTAAATTGGCTTCCTCTGTATTTAAAACCCTTGCCAAGGCATAATCGGCAAAAAAATGGTTAATTGTTGTATTGTTGTTTCATTAATGGCCTAATAGTTTAGTTATAAGTCAGCAACACGGATGTGCTATTTGGCTCATCATTAACCCTGAAAAGTAATGTTCGGTGCCTGTTTCCATCGATACAGGGAATAGGGATCACAAAGAATCACGCGTGATGGTATAAATATAGGGACCCTTTTATTTTCATGATGATAAAAAAAAAAATTATTTTATCACATTTATTTATGATTATATAATCCGAAGAGTATATAATTATAGTATTAAATGATGATAAAAAAAAAGTTATTTTATGTCATTTGATTATGATTATATAATTTTAGGAGTATATAATTATAATATTAATTTTTTTCTCTTTACATCAGTCGAAAATTTTTGAAAAGATAAAAAAAAAAATTTAATATTATAACTATGTATTTAACAAAGTATATAGTTATAATAAATAACATAAAATAGTTTTTTTTCATTTAACATAAAATTATGGTTTCCATAAATATAAACAGCTCCGACACAGCTACACCATAAATTATCTGTCTCCTTCAAATATATTTATTATATGACACAGGATCAAAGCATGAACAATTGTGTTGGCCAATTTACATCAATTTAAGTTTCTCTAATAAAGGGAAAATATCTTGTGTACCTTGCTGATATTACATAATTGGTGGAGCTGCTGTGCTGTATAATATATACAGAGAAATAAAACCCGAATTACAAAAATTGCTCGGTATGTGGAATAGATTATTAGGCCCATTTGTCTGAGCCCCATTTTTTAAATTAAAAAAATGTTTACATTTTTTATAATTAGATAGGCTTTTTGAACAAAATATAAATTGAACTACAAATTTCTCATAAATTAAAAAGGATAATTTCGAAAATAATCTGAAAGAAAATTATATCACAAAAGCGCTCTTAGATCCAACCATCTCAATTAAGAAGAAACGGAATAAGATACATGTGTTCGGTTCTTTTAAGGATAAGTTGCAAAGGTGTTTACCCCAAAAAAAGAGAGAGGATAAGTTTCAAGGTATTTGCTTGATAGGCATCACAAATGAACATGATAAGTTTTTACAAATTTTCGATACCTTCCTACTGTCACAGACATTGATTAATATTGTTAGATATTGTTTTTCTGTCAATTTAAAACCCCAGTCCAAAGAGCCTTAAATTCAGAGCAGTTCAACAAACTACTAATTTGAAAGTAAACTTTCTATGTTCATTGCACAAATGATATGATAGGTGTTTGGAGCCGAAGGTGCCTAGGGATCCACTATTTCTGGGATAAATATTGGAATTGCAGTTACAAAAAGTGTAAGCCAACCAGAAATGAACATAATATTGCTTTTGTGTATCATCTGGCAGTCGGTTATAAATTGGTACAAAAATTTATGTTTATTAGGTTGCTTCGTGGGTTGCATTCTAACCTAGCTGTATAGTAGAGACATTAAATTGGCTTCCTCTGAAATCAAAAGCCTTGCCTAGGCATCATCAGCAAAAAATGGTTGATGTTAGTATGTGAAGAATGTGTTGTTAGCAAACAACATCGTTCTGAATTTGCAAAAGGGAACTTATGGAGAGCAAAGGGAATTTTGCAATTGGTGCATTCAGACATTTGTGGTCCAATAAATCCAATTTCTAATGGAGGTAAAAAATATTTAATTACCTTCATTGATGATTTTTCTAGAAAAACGTGGGTTTATTTTTTACAGGAAAAGTCAGAAGCTTTCTCTACATTTAAAAATTTCAAAGCTCGTGTGGAGAATGAGACAGGAAGGATGATTCAGACACTTCGCACAGATCGTGGTGGTGAATATTGCTCAAAAGAATTTGAAGCTTTTTGTGAAGAACATGGCATCCGAAAAGAGCTTACAACTGCGTATACACCACAACAAAATGGTGTATCAGAGAGGAAGAATAGAACCATCCTCAACATGGTTAGAAGCTTGTTGGTAAGAGGAAGAGTTCCAAAGACGTTTTGGCCAGAAGCAGTAAACTGGTGCATTCATGTCTTAAACAGAAGTCCAACCTTTGCAGTTCGAAATATGACGCCAGAAGAGGCTTGGAGTGGGAGAAAACCAAATGTGGATCACTTTAGAATTTTTGGATGCATTGCATATGCTCATGTCCCGGAACAGAAAAGAAAAAAACTTGATGACAAGGCTGAAAAATGTGTCTTTCTAGGTGTAAGTGATACATCTAAAGCATATAAATTATTTAATCCACTGACGAAAAAAATTGTGGTTAGCAGGGATGTTGTTTTTGACGAAGAAAACACTTGGGATTGGAATATGCAGCAGCCTACCGAAGTTCTTTGTGATATTGATTCTGAACAAGAGCAAATTTCAGCATCTAGTATGCCTGAAAATTCGTCCATTGCAACTTCTTCAGCTAGTCAATCCTCACCAACAGTAGTTGGAGTTAACGAAGAAGAAACTCAATCTCTTCGTCGTGTTAGAAGAAGGCCTACTTGGATGGAAGATTATGAGGTAACTGGAATTGAAGATCCAATTACTCACTTTGCTTTGTTTTCAGAATGTGATCCCGTGACTTTTGAGAGTGCTGTCAAAGAAGAAAAATGGCGAAAAGCAATGGATGCTGAAATTGATGCAATTGTTGTTGAGATATTCAAGTGTGATGAGTGCCACATTGGTTGGTAATGAGCTAAGTGAAGAGTATATAAGTGCAGAAAGACCCATAAACCTGCAGCCTTAAGGTTTTGGGTTAAGATGTGGTGTCGGCCCACTTATTATGGTTTGTCATTTGGCCCATTAGTGGATGTACCCTTTGCAAAGGGTTTTGGGCTCCCTCATTCCATTGCCCAACAGTGGTATCAGAGCCGGATTGGGCTCGAGCTAGCCTAGTGATTGGCTAGGAGGCGGGTCGAGTACTTTGCACTTCGGGTACTCGGTTGAGGGAGAGCATACCAATGGTGGGTTTCACACTTGAGGGGGAGATTGTTGAGATATTCAAGTGTGATGAGTGCCACATTGGTTGGTAATGAGCTAAGTGAAGAGTATATAAGTGCAGAAAGACCCATAAACCTGCAGCCTTAAGGTTTTGGGTTAAGATGTGGTGTCGGCCCACTTATTATGGTTTGTCATTTGGCCCATTAGTGGATGTACCATTTGCAAAGGGTTTTGGGCTCCCTCATTCCATTGCCCAACAAGGTATAAGTCAGCAACATAGATGTGGTATTTGGTTCATCATTAACCCTGAAAAGTAATGTTTGGTGCAAAGTTGAAAAAATTGGATTGGCCCAGATTGATCCGAGACCGATTGTTTGACCAGTTTGGTTTTTTATGTTAGATCGGTCAAGTACTAGAATCACTGCGATCCAATGGATTTTTGAAAAATTCGATGACCCAGTCAGTTCAACTGGTAACCTAATTCGATTCATAAAAAAAAATTATTTCCAAAAAAAAAATTCATACAGAATATATTTTTTTAAATTCACAAATAGTTTATTTTCTTTTGAAATATTTAAGTGATTTGTTGCTTATTGACTTACATATGTTATGTATCTACAACACTGAGATTATCTTAGTTATGCATTATACGAGGAATTTTGATTTATTTATAGTTAAAAATATCGTCTACTGAACCTGAAGTACCAGTATCACAAGCATTATATGTTTGTTTGATCCTTTGTTGGATAATGATACGTGATTTATTATTTTTCATATAAAAATATTTGGAATCGATATTATTTTTTTACACATATTTAAGTATGTTAATAATTTTTTAATATAAATTATAGATTTTGATATACTTACTAAGTCATGCAATTGAACTAGTAACTCACTGGTTGGTTGAATCACTAACTCACTGACCCAATATTTCAATTGGATCAATGACCGAGTTGGAGTTAATAAGATTAATTTAGTGCCTGTTTCCATCTATATAGGGAATATGATCAGAAAGAATCCATCTATATAGGGAATAGAATCAGAAAGAATCATGTGTGATGATGGTATAAATATAAAAAACTCCGACACAACTACACCGTAAGTTATCTGTCTCCTTCAAATATATTTATTATATGACACATGACCAAGGCATGAACAATTGTGTTGGCCAATTTACATCAATTTAAGTTTCTCTAAAGGAAAAATATCTTGTGTACGTTGCAGATTTTAGGTGGAGCTAGATGTGCTATATATGCAGAGAAATAAAACCCGAATTACAAAAATTGCTCATTAGGCCCATTTGTCTGAGCCCAATTTTTTTAAATTAAAAAATGTTTATTTTTTTTATAATTAGATAAGATTTTTGAACAAAATAAAAATTATAAAAAAAAATTAAAATTTTATCATGAATAAAAAAGGATAATTTCAAAATTAAACTGTAAGAAAATTATATCACAAAAGCGCTCTTGGATCCAACCATCTCAATTACGAAGAAACGGAATAAGATACATGTGTTCGGTACTTTTAAGGATAAGTTTCAAGATATTTGCTTGATAGGTATCACAGATGAATATAATAAGCTTTTACAAATTTTCGATACCTTCCTACTGTCACACACATTGATTAATATTGTTAGATATTGTTTTTCTGTCAATTTGAAACCCCATAATTCCAAAGAGCCTTAAATTCAGAGCAGTTCAACAAACTAATAATTTGAAAGTAAACTTTCTATGTTCATTGCACAAATGATGGGATAGGTGTTTGGAGCTGAAGGTGCTTATGGATCCACTATCTTCCGACAAACTTATTGCTTGCTGATTCAATCATATTTCTGGGATAGATATTGGAATTGCAGTTATAAAAAGTGTAAGCCAACCAGAAATGAACAGAATATTATAAAAAAATTCTTACTTTTTTTTGTTTCTTTCTTCAAATTTTCCCTAATGTAATAATGCGATGTAAGATAGAAAATAGGCCAACTTTTGGCGTCAAAATAGTCTACATTGTTCAAAATTTTGAAGCCATTTTATCTTCTAAAACCCATTAACTTCTAACACATATTTCGAACCCAATTTTTTCCCCCATTACATGGGCAACTTGAGTGCAAGTACTAGTGGGTGAGAAGAATCAAACTTTCACATGATTGTTGAGTAACCTTTTCTTTTTCCTTTTCTCATTTATGAAATCATGAGAGTGTAAGAACTTTCGGTGGACAAACGTGACTATGACATGAACCAATGATGCAACATGTCTGATATCATGATTCACAACTCATAAGAAAGAACAAAATCTTGGGTGCCAAAAAGGAGAGGTATCAGTCAATTCAGTCACGGTCTTTGCACTGAAGCAAACTAGAAAGCATGACACTTTTCCATTTATTTTGGGGCTTTATTTTATTCCTATTTTTCCTCAACCATAACATTTCTAAGGATATGTTTTTGGATAAGATAGAATTTAAGAAATGGAGTTCATTTCTTCTTTATTGATAACTCATTATCTCTCTTTTCGCCCTTCTTATATAAGGTATCATATGCCATCTTTTTGGGGGCCCTCCTACAACTTTTTTTTTTTTTAAACAAAAAGATAAAATTCAAGAAACCCCTCCTACAACTTTGGCTCTTTGACCGATGGGGTTTTTTTGTGATGTTAATTTATGAATTTGGTATTTGGTCGAAGGTATTTACGAATTGGGGTCATTTAGTGACGCGAGGGGGACCCAGCGTCACTGAGTGCCGCTACCATCCCCTCGCGTCACTCTCACTTTTTTTTATTTTTTTTACTTTTTTCTATTGAGTGTCGCCCCCCCTCCCCTGTGGCACTCACAGAATTGTGCCAAGTGGCACAATCTGGTTACTCCTATTACTGTAAAACTTCAGAAAGCCATAACTTTTGACTCGGGTATCCAAATCAGATGTTTTTTTTTTTATTTCACATAACTTTCCGAGATCTACGCAATGACATCTCATTTGACATATTTTATCTCTCACAAACATAATTCAAATCTGTAAAAAAGTGTAATTAGTGTTGCACATTTGAACTATATTAATGGAAAATAAAATATGTCAAATGAGATGTCATTGCGTAGATCTCGAAAAGTTATGTGAAATAAAAAAAAATCATCTGATTTGGATACCCGAGTCAAAAGTTATGGCCTTCCGAAGTTTTACGGTAATAGGAGTAACCCGATTGTACCACTTGGCACAATTCTGTGAGTGCCCCAGGGGAGGGGGGGCGGCACTTAATAGAAAAAACTAAAAAAAAAATAAAAAAAGTGAGAGTGACGAGAGGGGATGATAGCGGCACTCAGTGACGCTGGGTTCCCATCGCGTGACCCTCGTTCGTAAATACCAATACCAAATTGATAAATTAAAGAAATTAAAACCCCTAATGGGTGAAAGAGTCCTGCAACTTTAGTTACATGCGGAATAGCATGTCTCCCTTGTTTCTTTACACGACTTTAATGAATATCAAATAGTTTCAAAACAAAATTTATTGTATAAAATTTACAAAAAATAAAAATAAAAAATTAAACGATTCAAGTGAAAATTTAGATAGAATATTAATGAATATAACTTCAACTCTTGTATTTGATAAATTATGGGAAAAAATGTACACAATAAGCTAGAAATTGGGATACCTCTTTTAGTTTAGGAAGAATAAGTCTATTCCAATTAATTAAGAAGACAATAATGTCTAAGAATCTAAATATTTAGGACGATAATAATCATAGAGGAATATTCATAAATGCAATGAAATTGTCACGAAGCTTTGTATTGTGAATCTAGTTTGTCAGATTGCTTAACTGATTGATAGTTAAAAAACGAGTTAAGTTATAGAAACTATAATAGTAAGAACCTGATATACTTGATTACCAAAAAACAAAAGAACTTGATATACTTAATATTATCTAGAGTGTGTTTAGATTAGCTGTGAAAAAAATAATTTAATAAAGATTTTATGTATGATTAATATTATGATAAAATTAGTTTAACACATAAATATAATAACTAAAAATCGATTTTACAATGATACGTTTTGTTTGAATTGTATTCAAAATCAGTTTTATATAATAAAACATTTTTTCAAGATAGTAAAAAAATGATCAAAAGATTCTATTAATACCTTCTTATCAACTTTTTTCTTCCAACCATCACGGATTGTAGACACTATTTATTACCTTTTATTCGTATTTGTTTAGTATTTCTTGGTCTTCTACTAAGACTAGGACAACATTTCAGGCCTGCATAGTTACCTCGTATAATATACTTCATTGTTTTGTAGGCGATTTTTATTTTAAGAAAAAAATTAATCTTAGTTTTGTGATTTGTCTGTGTGTTTGTTCATTGACTATGTATGTGGTAGATCCCTTTGCCCGTTGTTTTACCTTTTCGCATTAATCAATTGAGAACATTTGGTTATATTGTTAGCTGGTGCTAATTGTATTACTCTGAGGCATTTTTCTCCTAGCTTTTATTATGAGATTAATGTTTTTTTTATAGTCAGAAATAATTTTATCTCCAATACATATAAACATGTTTGGAGCTCACTTTTTTTTTTCTTTTTTTTTTCACATAGCCCCATATGAACTTCACACATTTTTATGTATGTAGAAAATAAATTTTTTTTTTTCAGGTATCCGATAAAATTTATTTTCTACAACATGAAAAACATTATTCTTTTTTATTATATGTAATTGAGACTAAATGTGACATATATTGGAAAAACGACATAAACCTTTAATCTCCGGCAAACATTTCATCACAAAAATTGATAATGGAATTGATGTTAATATTATGTACGGGAATAATAACGGAAATTTTAATAAAAAATTTCATATTTTCAGTTGAAAAATTCGTGGCAAATGTTGAACTTATTTTAAAACTTATTAAAAACGTGTTTTCCAAAAATATTATTACAAAAAGGAATGCTAGTAATTTTTTTTATACCTCTATTATAAGATGAATTTTCATGTAAATCCTACTAAATAATTTGATTTCATTAGTAGAGTTAACATGAAAATTCACTCAATAATAAAAGAATTTATTGTTAGCACTTTCTATTATAAATTACATCATAATTAAGTAAAAAAAGTTATCATGGTTTTTTTCCAGTAGCTGTTAGTTGGGTTTAGCCGTTTAGGTATTATAATTGATCCTGGAACTTCTTCAAAATATTTAAAATATTTCATTCTATTAAAAAAATAATATCTAAAATACAAAAAATAATCAATTTGTGCTCGCAAAAGAAAAATTTATAATAATTTTTTTAGTTCTATATAGATTTATTAAATTTTCAAATTATTTTTTATTAATATAATGTTTTAATCGTAGTCTCTGTTGAAACCTTTGGTTTGGGCCTTTTAGGGACCTACTACATTAAAACATTACATTTACATGGTGGGCCTTTTAGGGACCTACTTCATTAAACCTTTGGTTTGGGCCTTTTAAAGGACAAGACATTTACATGGATCTCCCATACATGTCACCCACCACTGCACACTGACTAGCAAGTAGCAACATATTTCTTTTATTTTACATCTAGGGATTAAGCCCATTTAAAAGTGTTCGTGCCGTGCGAGTAAAGAAAGATAATTATTCGCGTAACTATTATTGAAAAAAGAGATATATCTTCATTTCAAAATAATTTGTACTTTAAAAATTAAAAAATAATTAAATTCTCTGAAATTTTTAAAAGTATAAATTCATTTAATTTTATTATTGTTTATTTTCTTTAATGCTCTCATATTCAACTGAATAGATATGCTCAGAAACAAGAATAATTTTTTTAAAAAATAATTTTTAGTTTTTTAAATTTACGAATAATTTAAAATAACCTAAAACTTCGAAAGTGACCTTTTTTAATATTTATATGGGATAGGATATTGTGACATACAAATAATGTTACGCACAATGTTACGACTACATCTTAACCGTTGATTTCCGTCAATCAACGGTTATCATTTATTGCGAATTAATAATTAATTAATAAGTTTGATTTGAAAAATGATAACCGTTGATTGGCGGAAATCAACGGTTAAGATGTGGTCGTAACATTGTGCGTAACATTATTTGTGTGTCACAATATCTGATATCTCTCTCTCTCTCTCTCTCTCTCTCTCTATATATATATATATATATATATATATATATATAATATATATATATAGACTTATCGTTTCTCAAACTGTTTGAAATAATTTTATCTTCGGCCACTAAATCATAACCGTATAAAGATGGATTAATGATGATAAAAGAAGAGAGAGAAAAAGAAAATCATAACCATTTAAAGGTGAATCAATTAATATAAGGAAATAAATAAATAAAACAACGTCGTTTTGGGGTGGCCAGAGATAAACTTATCTCAAATTGCCGGAGAAATATTTTTTTCATATATATATATATATATTAAAAAAAGAGTCATGCATATAAGAAACAAATACGAAAAATTATCCACGGACAACAATGGATCTCTGTTGAGCTGCTTCCTTGCCCCCATGCTTTCAGAACAGGAAAACTGACGGGAAATGAAGGATGACTTGAAACCACAAGAAATTAAAAAAATCACATTATGGTACAAAGGATAAATTCTACATAAACATACTACTAAAAATTTGTATTCCCAAGTTTATGGCAATACCAAACTTACTATTTTTAAATCAAAATCTTTGTATCTTTTTGGTCGAGAATCTCATAGCATAACATATTGACACATTGATCATATGAAAACTTGATTGCACTACTTCACATCAATCCATTAAAAGATTATTCCCAAAACAAAAATCCTGAAAAAAACAAAAAAAAACGACATTTATCTACATAGAGGATGATCACCACACCCACGCATAGTTTTCTCCAAAGTACATTTGCCATTCACCTGAAATTTTTCTAAGAAAAAGTCACTGTATTTTTTTAATTGTTTCTCGGAAGATAACATCTTCCTTGGCTGCAATGAAACATCCTATTCAATTATAGATATTCCAGACCAACACCCTATACAGAGTCTACTACCACTTCGCCCTGCTGCTTTGCGAGGTATCTTTCCCTCCTCTCTTTCTGAAAAGAATAATCAGAGATATTATATATAGATTAATCATTTTGTCAAAAGGAACAACATATTGCAAGGAAAATTTTTATTCAAAAGTTAAGTAAACATACTGACCCATTCATCTATGACAAGCCCTTCCCCAATAATTTTAGGACCTGCATCTTCTGCAGGTTTCTTACGTGCCTCAAGGGCAGCATCAGCATCAGCCAGCTGTCGCTTCAGTTTTTCCAAAGCCTTATGAGAAAAAATAGACCCTCATAAGTCGTATGCAATCGGTTATGGTATTATACACAGACATCTTATAAACATCAATCAAAATAGCTTATACTGAATGTCGCAACCACAGCAAAGCAACAGATATATAAATGAATACGTGCAGAAAGAGAGAAGAGAAAGGGAAAATGAAATGTGTGATAAGCATAGATTGGTTCGAATGTACAAATGTACACTGAAAATTTCAGTACTCACGGGACTAGGACGCTCTGGATCTAGAAAAATAACTCGCAAAATCTGCTCCACTGCTACTTGGTCCTTCTGCTCATCAAACTGTTTCGAGAGAGAAAAAAATATTTGTGTTTAAAAACAATTCTAAATATGACCCCACAACGTGGAAAGTATCTTCATGTCAAGCAGAGAATGACACTAGAGTGGCTGAAATGAAAAGTAAAATCCAAGCATATACAACAGAAGAACTTTAAATTTGATTGTGCACACATTTTTGTGATGTGAGAGACAGAGAATGAACCCTCAAAAAGAAAGTGAACCTTCTCATTATTAATCATAATAAAAGCTCCAGTTCTCCTGCTATGTCCATTAACTAAAAGGCTATAAAGTTTACAACGGTTAAAAAAATGAAATCTACATGCATAGAGTAATTTATTAAAACCAAAATAACAACACACGATCCTTTTCTATCAATTAATTATAACCAAACCCAAGAAACAAAATATTTATTGCAGTAGAATAAATAATGTGTGTGTAACAGGTAATCTAAGAAGATATACAGTCGCAAGATTGCTAGATGCCCATGAGACAGACAGCTATAGTATAAGAGAAAAACCAACAGCAACATCTTATTTCATGACAATTGTAAGTTTGTAGCCAAAATAAAATTAACTAACCAGCTCAGGGACATAATCAATTGATCCTTTGACCTTCAAGCTCATGATTTTAAATTTGAGTCCAGTTTTTTCAGGCTTTTCATTATTTTCTGGTTGCTCTACAAACTTGAACACTAGCAAACAAAATATAAATTAGTGAGATAACTAGACCTTGTATTTATGATTATCTTTTATTTTATTACACACAAAGGAACATACAGAGAAATGAAATATTGGTTACCTGTTGCTATGATACTCTCACCGGGAGCAAGGATAGCCCCAGGAGGACGCATGAAACAGCTTTTGGGAGCAGTTGTTTGAAACTAAATATACATATTAAGTGAAAAACAAAGAAATCTTATCAGAATAGATAGTGAAATTATAGTACTGTTTTAGAATCATAGAAGAACTCATTAATTTATAAAACAATAAATGAATTATTCTCCTGCAAAACTGTGACATATTAACAGCAAAAATAGACAGTTGAGTTCACGACTTAATCAAAGTACCTCAACAACAAAAAGGGCAAATGAGGAAAAGAAAAATTTAAAAACGGGAATAAAGAAACAGGTTTACATGTTTCACTATACCTTGAAAGCTACATGTGATTTGCTGGTGTTTTTAATCCTGATTGCACTTTTAACCTGTTTACCCGGCTCATCTACACAAGAAATTAAGGAAAGAAGGGACAAATTGTAGTACACGTGGATAAGTAAATCAACCAATCATTGGAGCATTAGAGTAAGAGATGAATAAAATAAAAAAGATAAAAACCATGCATACAGCATACATGATCTCAGAAACATACATGCACACGTATAAAATAAGAACATATCACATTGAGTCTGTGTATGTATTTCTGAACCTACAAGTGCAGACATCAGAAAGGGCGAGAGAAGTAGAGGGAATTTTCTATCTGATTTGTTATCTAGCTTGACTGTTTAACCTGTGTCTCTAGAAAGTCCTAGAACATTGTGTCTCCATCAATAATAAAATATTCTATTTTCTTTTCATTTGTCATCTTCACTTTCCCATACTAGAAGAGCATTCAATGCATTCATCTTTGAGCCATATCGAAATAATCATTCCATGTCCATCAAAGAAATGAATAATAGCTCGAAGTAAAGAACATTGAACACGTCCATAAATCAATTTCATAAATACATAATCAATAACCTATAATAATTAATACCTATAATTAGTACCAAATTACCCTAATGATTGACACTAATAATTAATGGGGATGTTCTCTCCTACAACTCTCGCTACACTAATAGAAGTTTCCTAAAAATACCCCCCCCCCCCCTAAAGATTCTCCTTGATGAGGGCAACTAGTGATAGTTTTTCCCTCGGTGTCATATTGCATGAACTGTAAGGGCTAACTAATGCGTGAAACATTATGATTTTCCCCGGAGATCCCATTACTCTTTTGTATTAGTGTCATTTTCACTTTCCCACGCTTGAAGAGCATTAAACGCACTGATCTTTGAGCCATATCGAAATAACCTTTCCACATCCATCAAAGAAATGAATAGTAGATCAAAGTAAAAAGCATTGAACGCGCCCATAAATCAATTTCATAAATACAGAATCAATCACCGATGATAATTGATATCCATAATTAGTATCAAATTACACTAATGATTGATACTCGTAATTAATTGGGATGTTATACCTTACACCTCTCACATTAAAGGAGGTTTCCTAAAAACACTCACCATAAAAGATTCATGTTGGTGAGGGCAACTAGTGACCATCTTTCGCTTTGGGCACCATTGCTGGAACTGTAAGGGCTAGCTGATGCGTGAAACAATATGATTTTCCCCCGGGGATCCTTTGCTCTTATGTATTGGCGTTGTCTTCACTTTCCCACACTTGAAGAGCACTAAATGCACTGATCAAGCCATATCAAAGTAACCTCTCCATATCCATCAAAGAAATAGATTGTGGATTGAAGAAAAGAGCATTGAACACACTTACCTACGAGCCAATTCGAGTAACCTTTTCATATTCATGAAAGAAATGGATTGTAGATCAAAGTAACCTTTCCATATCAATCAAAGAAATGGATTGTTGAAGTGCATTTGCAACATTCTCTAAGGCTAATTGTATGCTTTCCATCATCGTAAGGTCTTGAGTTGCCGCTGGTAAAAAGTAGAGACTCTTGATGCTTGTATCAATTCTCTTAGAAATTTTAGCACCTCTGAAGGAATAAATCTATATCGAACTCTAGTTCAAAATGTTTCAGCACAGCCTAATAGAAGCACTTGATAGAGATGACTTCAAAGATGGTACCACAACTTTGAGCACGTCCTTTCATTGCCCTTGTCGCTTCTGAAAACTTGACTTTTTGTGTTCCTTTTGTTCTAAAATGGTACTCCACATTATTCAACAACAAATATGCTTCTTTTCCTTTAAATTTTGGAATCATCTTTTAATACCACAACACCTAGATTGAGTGCTTCGATACCAATAGATAGGATTCAATCGAAAAAGAATAAAAAGAGCAATGGGATCCTCGAGAAAAATCATAATAGTTCTCGCATTAGTTAGCCAATGGGACCCCAAGGAAAAAACTATCACTAGTTGCCCTCATCAAGGTGGATCTTTAGGGCAGGTATTTTTAGGAAACATCCTTTGGCATAGAGAGAGTTGTAAAGGAGAACATCCCTATTAACTATTGGTATCAGTCATTAGGGTAATTTGATACTAGTTACGGGTATCAATTATTATAGGTTATTGATTTTGTATTTATGAAATCGATTTGTGGGTATGTTCAATGTTCTTTACTTCAATCAACAATCCATTTCTTTGATGGATATGGAAATGTTACTTTGATATAGCTCAGAGATCAGTGCGTTGAATGCTCTTCAAGTGTGGGAAATTGAAGACGAAACAAATACATAAGGGCGATCGAATCCCCGGGGGAAGAAAAAACTATCACTAATTGCCCTCGTCAAAGTGAATCTTTGTGGAGGGGGGTATTTTTATGAAACCTCCTTTAGTGTAGCGAGAGTTACAGGGGATAACATCCCTATTATTATTCGTATCAAGTAATTCGGTACTAATGATGGGTATCAGTTATTATAGGTGATTGGTTCTATATTTATGGAATTCATTTATGGGTGCGTTCAATGCTCTTTGCTTTGACCAACAATCCATTTCTTTGATGGATATGGAAAGGTTACTTCGATATGGCTCAGAGACCAGTGCATTGAATGCTCTTCAAGTGTGAGAAAGTGAAGACAACACTAATACAAAAGGGCGATGGGATCCCTGGGGGAAATCATAATGCTTCACATATCATTTTGTCCTTACAATTCATGTAATGTAACCTAGGGTAGTTTGGCACTAATTATGAATATTAATTATTATAGGTGATTGATTTTGTATTTATGGAATCGACATATGGGTGCGTACAATGCTCTTTACTTCGATCTACAAATTATTTCTTTTTTGGATATGAAAAGATTACTTCAATGTCTCGGAGATTAATGCATTGAATGCTCTTCAAGTGCGGGAAAACAAGAAAGGAAATGGGTCCCAGGAGAAATCATAACCCTTATAGTTCATGCAATGGGATCTCGAGGAAAAGACTATCACTTGTTGCCCTCACCAAGGTGAATCTTTCAAGGGGAAATATTGTTACAAAACCCCATTTAGTGCAACAAGAGGTGTATGAGATAACATCGCAATTAATTATGAGAACTAATTATGGGTCAATTATTATAGGTGATTGATTCTATATTTATGGGAGATCTATTATATAAATAGGAGACAATGAGATGTCATTAAGTAGACTAGATATGCTTAATGATACTAAGTATGTTTAATAATCTCCCATTCCCTTCTATTTATAACAAATTCCCCATAAATACCGCATCAATCACTCTATATTGATCCCGTACAAACTTTCACTCTCTACATCAAAAAGGGGTTAATCTCATTCAAACATCCAAATGGGTGGGGACCCCATGGGAAACCAAAAATAAAAAAAAAATCCACATGGTCCATAAACCTCTCCTTATTAAAGGAGGTTTCCAAACAGACAATAAATGACCAAGCAGTAAAGCCAAGAGATCGAGTGGAGAGGATGATTGCTTGGTCTTGTCCCCCTGTGGACTGGGTCAAGCTAAATGTTGATGGGGCCAAAACTGGTAACAGGTCCGGGTGTGGTGGTGTCATACGTGAGGAGCTTGATTTTCGGTTTCTTTAAAAACTTAGGATCGGGTACTGTCTCGCATGCTGAACTGTGGGCCTGTTTGGTGGGTTTGCAGTTGGCTTGGGATAAAGGATTTAGACAAGTGTGGTTGGCAGGAGATTCCCTATCAGCCCAGTAGATTATAATGAATGGGTGTCATCTTGATCATCATGCAGCAAACTTGGTGTGGCGTATTAGAAACATGTTACATCGTTGTTGGTGTGTCCGTATGTCTCACATCTATCGCGAAGGGAATAGAGTGGCAGACTTTCTTGCCTCTTACTCATATGGCTTCTCCTGGGTAGTGCAAGTTTTTGATGTTCCTCCTCTTGGTTGTAGGGAAGAGCTGTATAGTGACACTATTGGTGTCCGTTGGGCTAGGCTATGTGTTTAGTTTTTTGTTTTGTTCTTTTTTAGTTACCTATTGTCTCCAAAAAAGAATTCATTCACCCTTTCCACCGCTAGAAATACCGCAACCCACTCCAACAAAAAGTATAGCAACCATAATCAGAGAGCATTAACAGCAGAAGCTAACAACACTGAATAAATTATTTTTATTCTTTAAACACTTTCTTATACCAAAACCTCCAGCTCCGGCTCGCTTTCAATTTTCCATTTCTGGAAATACTTGAACTGTGATTAGCGACAAAGCATTACCTCACACAGATGAATAAGCAAGAAATGGAAAGTGCAGCATTAAAAATCAAATGCAACACGAATAAATAACCATTAACTTTCAAGCCATATTGAAAGAAATAAGCAATGATCTTTTAACCAAACCAAAAGTTTCTATTTTTGGGACAGTCTAATTAAAGCCTTAAAATTGCAATTAAAACCGGCAAATAGAAATTACAGCGAAGATCAAAATTAGATCATGATCAAATTCAAAGCAATTATTAAATTTCATACAAGCAAAGAAACAAAAAAGGAAAATCACCATACCTCAATAGTAAAGCAAAAATAAAAAAATAAAAAAACTGAAAAACATACAAGGGAAGTAGAGCTTGTTGGAGGGATCAAGCTTGAGACGACGTCGTGTCGGGAGAAACGATCTAGCAACGGAAGAAACTGAATTAGAGGTATGGGAGGTGGAACCCTCAGGGGGTAGATTGTGAGGGTTAGGGTTGTGATGATGATGATGGTGATGATGATGATGAGGAAGATGAAGGTTAGCAGAAGACGACGTCGTACTGGAAGAATTGGCGCCAGAGCTAGAATGGCGAAACGGAAGCTTGAAGAAATTCCAGACCTTAGGTTCGGAGTGAGGTTTGGGTTCAGCTACGTCCATGTTCTCCTGTTCTGAGAAATGAGAATGAATGGACGACGGAAACGAAGAATTGAAGAACAGAAAATAAAAATAAAAAAGAGAAACAACTGAGCCTTGACTTCACTTGACGGTTTCAAACATGATGTCAGGGGACGGTAAACGTCGTCGTTTACTCTTTCACTCTAAGTGTTACAGACGCGGATGTGAGAGAGATTATGAATTGCGATGGAGAAGACCGTGTCATATCCACTAATATTTGATATTTACTGTTGTACAAAGCTTCAGTGCATTTTATCAATGAGAATATTATACATCAGTTAATTTTTTTTTTCTTCTATCAAATTTTTTCTCTGACTGCTATAATGTGTAATGCTCTCGTTGATAAAATATATTGAATCTAAATACAGTAGTACGACAGATTTATTTTATATTTACGCGTTTTTTTGTGTCTTTTTATTTATTTCTTATTTTTTATTCGTTGTCTTTAACTGTTTGCTTAATACAGTCACTGAAAATGGGGAATGCAACGTCGTAGTGATGTGCGCGGAAAACGTGGTGGGGTCCACTTCAACAAACTAGTGTCTGTTACACGTTATGGGTTGACTTTTTGCACCAACGCCCGCCAAACCTTGTTTCTACCGTTTGGGGTAACTAGAAAGAGGGCGCACATAAAATTGTGTGCGCAAACAAATTTTATTACGTAATGTAGCATGTAAAATTTGATTTATCCGTGGGGGATGTTTAATAGAGAAGAAATCTTTTTTTTTTTTTTCTGAAAATCTCTATTTTCAAAAATATAATTTTTATATTCAGTTTACGATAATATTTAAAAATTTAAAATTTAGAAAAATCAATTTTTCAGATATCTGAGAAAAAGCCATGTACCAAATGACCCTTAAGTATAACTTTCACACTTATTTCTACATATGAAAGTGGGAAATATTACTCTTAGCTAGTGTTTGGTTTGGGAGAAATTTTTTTTTACTATGGAAATGTAATTGATAGGGAAATGGTTAGAAAGTGAGTTTGGTAGGAAAATGTAAAAAAAGTTATTTGGTTGACCGAAATATTATCAGGGAAATTTATTTAAATATGCAAAATCTATGTTTGAGATAAACTTTGCACCTATTTTTTCACTTCCCCAGTCATTTCAAAATACCACATCTCAAGTGGTATTCTGTAACAGTGAATTTCATCCAAAAATCAACACAAAAGTCATTTTCTCATCTATCCTATTTGCCTAGTATTTTTGGAAAAAACCTGAACCAAACGTGGTATTTTTCAATATCCACTTACACTTTTCCATCAATCCTAAAATAAACCTTCAACTACACTACCTTATGCAATAGGAATTTTTTTTTATCTTATGTACATACATCGATACTTGTGCTAATTATTTTATTTTTTTTCTATTGGGCCCTACGTTAAATTGAGTGTGTAGGAGATAACAAAATTTTTATGTGACATGAGACTACAATTACCCTATGAAAATTGGAAACATTTGTTTTTGTTAGACATATTTTATTCGATAAAAAACTATTCTTCTGGTCTATATAATTTCCTTGAATCCAATTTAGTTTTAATTTAAAATCATATTAAGCTTTCATAAATTTACTATAAAAAATTAATAAGGACCAATAACGGATAAGATATTGAATCTACCTTTTTTTCATACCTATTTTATTTGCTCATTTTTAACATTGTTAAATATTAAAATCTTAAGAGAAGAGAAAATGGTAAATATTAGTTGAGAGTCCAATCTAACAGTATCAAAAAAGGAGTAGATAGAGTAAGTATGAAGAAGAAAAATAAACATAATATCCTATCCCTATTTTGTTTAGGAGAGAATACCAAAATATATCAAAATACTAATAAATTATGTTGTTGAGCTCATCCGTGAATGTGATTTGCCTTTTTTTTAATATATTGGTAATCGAACACATAATCTATTATCCATTAGGAATGTGCAAAAGAACTTAAAAACTGAACTAAACTGTAAATTGAACTAAACTAAACTGCTCTTAAAATAACTGATTTTTAAAAACTAGTTCATGAACCGAACTGATTTTTAAAGAATCAGTTCCAGAATCGAACTCATTTATAGAAATCAGTTCAATGATCGAACATTTTTTGAACCAAACCGACTCGTTTTATTGCTTTATTTTATTTTATTTTATTTTCAGAATAAGTTCGACCCGAATTGATTTTAAACCGAATTGAACCGAACCATTTGATCGATTTGGTTCTTTCAAAAATTCAATTCAATTCGATCCATACATTTTTATTATGCATCCCCTCACCAGTAGACTAGTCCTTGTGATTTGACTTATTTATATGGTTAATTTGGATAAGAGTTGTCTATACACTTTGGGTTAAAGCAATTGGCGATTTCAACAACTATTAGCGTCATGGGAAATTTTCAACCAAATTTAGCCCGAGATTTAAAAAAAAAAGTCAAGGGATCTAATGGAATTAGTGAATAAATATATGTATGCTTTTGAATTATTAGTTTTTTACAATAATATGACCAAGATAAGAGGCTGGTAAACATTCTTTTCAGGACATGGATGACTTGCTTGGAATCTACTCAATCTTGGTCTTTGGTAAATAATATATAATTCAACTAAACATTTTTGTTAAAATTAATAATTTATCCTGATGTTAGAAAGAGAAGAGTCTCTTATCACATTGAACTTTTTAATGCCAACAAAATATTAAAAAAAAAAATTGATTAGAACGATCAAGGGATTTGATATAAAAAGATAACACTTTCCTTAATGGATAAGAAACAAGTCACCTTTAAGGTTGTGCCATTGACATAGCTAAATCTCCATTGATAGACAAATATCTCATTAATTACATATATAAATTGTTATTTTTATTTTGGAGCGTATAAGGCAAAGACAAATTCTTTTGGATGATTATAAGTTTAAATTTCTTCATGTAACATTGATTTGTTTCAACAAAGTTCTATGTCTCTTGTGACAATTTTATTGTGTAACTTCTCTCAGATTCACGGAACAAACAGAAACCCTTCGAATCCCTCTCGTCTGTAATACTCCATGATCCTGTTTTGATTTATATATTATTATTCTTCAGCACCCATATGTAGCCCAGGGAAATTAATGAATGAGTCAGATATGATGTGTTAATTATTTTTTAATTTTTTTTTGTAAGTGATGTGTTAATTATTAGTATATATAGTCTCAGAGTGGGTTAGGTATTCAAATACATAAGTTTTAAATAACTAAATGTCTAAATCTACTCATAAAAAAGATTGTATCAATTATATGAACATTATTCACATGTAAGAATTTTCTTTCCTTGACTCGAAAGAAGGAAAATTTTTATTCTATCATAATCTCATATATTATACGAAAATTTGTATTCAATTGTATGAACATTTCAATGCAAAGGCATGTTTAAAAATACACATATACTGCATGTATATAACCAGACCCGGTCGTTTGTTTTTAATCTTAAGCCCAACGTTATCCAGATTTTAAGAAGAGCCCCTTTTATTTTAAAGCCCATTTATTTTCACTCCCCCGAAAGTTAGCCCATTAAGTTTAAGTTCAACACTAATGGACCCAAATCTTTTATATTTTCAATTCTCTCTTATAGTATCCTGGGATTCACGCATATATGCTAAGCTAATTATTTAAAAAAAACTCATACATACCCTGATACCTACATCTCGTAAAATGTTAGCTCAAATCTAGAGAACACGACAAAATACTTCTAGGGTGTGTTTGGTACAGGTTTTCATTTGAGTTTGATGGGCAAATTATGTGAGTGAGTATTAAAAAAGATCACGTTTGGTTTAAGTTTTGGAAAAAAAAAGACCAGCAGGGTAGGAAGCCTAGGCAATTAGATTTGGATTGTTTTTTTGCTAAAACTAACTGTTCACAAATACCATTTTGGGTGTGGTATTTTAGGATAGGTGGAGAAGTGGTATTCAAGGAAACCAAGTTATTGATGTTGGACTCTCACTTTTAGGTCGTGGTTCCTTTAAAAAATATTGATAACGAAGGTGTTTTTGTCAATTCAACTAATTTTTTCATCACTATTTTACATTCAACCAAACATAAACTTTGCAAATTTAAATAAATTTTCCTGGTAAAATTTCGGTGAACCAAATATCTTGTTTTAAACTTTTTCATCTAACTTACTTTCCTACCATGTTCCCATTAATTATGTTTCTCAGGTAAAAAAAAAATCTACTCTACCAAACACTCCCTAAAGAAAAGTGGGTTAATTGATTGGCTCCTCAAATTTGAATTCAGTCAATATAAAATAATAAATGAGAAAAATTATCTAATATTACTTTAGATTATTTTGTTTAATGTTTACCGAAATAACATTGTTTTTGGGTTAAAAAAAAATAGAATGATAAATACTATTATAACCTTAAAATAAATTAAAATTACAAACACACTATAATTTTCACCAAAAACAACATCATCTAAATGAACAATATTAAATAAAATTGTCTAAAGTAACTTTATAAAAAAAAACCAATAATAAATGATACATATGTTCTGTATACAAATATTTAATTATGTCTTAAAATGAACCAACATATGATGGACACGATTTGATCTCGTGAATCTGAATTGATCTCAGTGCCACTTAATAGTTAATATATAATCCTTTTCTTCTCATGCATGTAGCTGGAAAATCTAGGGCCAGGTGTTCTTTTTATTGTTTTTGGAGATCTACCTCAAGGGCCAGGTGTTCTTTATAAATTCGTAAGTAGCGTACGTATCCTCGTCTCACATCTTTAAATTGAATTTATCACTCTATGGAAGTTATTCAAGTTCATGGTCACTAGAAGTTTTCTTTATCAATATATTTATACCGAAATATAGTTTTCTTCCAGTTAGTAGGTGTAGAAGGTGATGATATGATATCAATAATGGGTTAGTATATGTATGAAGATGGTGATTAAAAAATATGCATGATTTACTTAAAATAGTTACACTAGCTTTTCATTGACTCAAGCTTCGGATCTCGAATATGGAAATAATTATAAAAACAAATTGTAAATTATTAACAGATATACACAGTTACACAATTCCCATTTTGTAATTTTTCGTTTGTTATTCT